CAGTGGTCTTCAAAAATGCTCAATCATAATCTCTTCAAATGTGATGATTCTATCCTCCATGTTATATTTTCCACTTCTTGTCTTCTGGGTAATTGCCTTAGATTTGCCACTTCTCTCTTCAAATGTGTCTAATCTATCATTATATCCATAGAGGAGGTGGAGGTGGTGGTGGTGGTGGTGGTGGTGGTGGTTTTAAGACAGAGTCTTGCTTTGTTGCCCAGGCTGGAGTGTGGAGTGGTGCCATCTCAGTTCATTGCAACCTCTGCCTCCAGGTTCAAGTGATTCTCTTGCCTCAGCCTCCTGAATAGCTGGGACTACAGGCATGCACCACCACACCCAGCTAATTTTTGTATTTTTAGTAGAGACAGGTTTTCACCATGTTGGCCAGGCTGATCTCCAACTCCTGACCTCAACCAATCCACCTGCCTCAGCTTCCCAAAGTGCTGGGATTACAGGACTGAGCCACCATGCCTGGCTCCATTGAGTTTTTATTTCACATTTATAAGTTATATTTTGTTATTTTTTAAATGTTTTTATAGTTTCCTGTCTCATGCTGATATGTTCAAGTTTGTCCTTTATTTTTTAAGTAGAATAATCATATTAATTTTATAATTTGTGTTTGATAATTTTTAAATCTATAGTGGCATGTCTCTGTTATGCTGGTTCTTGCTCATGCCTTTTCTTGCAGATTTAATTGTTTCTACTGTGAGATGTTCATTTTCTCTGGAAGTTTATTTGTGGAAGTTCCTTGAGGCCTGAAATAAAGTGAGTTTCCTCCAGATACCATCTGATTGCTTAAGGTTTTCTGGAACTCAAATAAGAGCCAGCTCGTGGTTCCAAATCCTTAGTAGGTATTTTCCCCCACTAAAGTGTCTAAGACATTCAATGTTACTTGCAGTCCCCAAAGGCAGGGAGAGAATAATTATTTGTAGATCATTGTTACATTAATGGCATAGTTCTGGCAATGGTAAACTACTGTTGGCAGGCAAGTGATATCTGGTCTACCACCTGTTTGGTAAATATAGTCTCACTGGAGCCACACCCACTTGCTTATGTATTATTGTCTGTGGCTTCCTTTTGCACTACAACAGCAGAGTAGGTATAATAGGAACTATGTAGCTGGAAAAGCCTGAAATATCTACTGTCTGACTCTTTCCAGAAAAAGTTTAGTAACCTCTGGCTTAGTCCACCAGGATACCAGCTTTGTGGGGTGATCTCCCCAAATCAAGCTCTGTCTCTGGTCTCCTAAATTTTATGAGTCAGTGAATACCAAAATTGATGTCCACCATATTTGGCTAATGCTATTAGTGTAAAAAGAGCTATCACAGGGGCAGTGCTCTGCTTAACTCTCTGGTTTCCTCACTTCATTCAGTACCTGTTGTGAAAATGCTTTTTTGTTAAGATCATATTCTTTCTTAAGGATTCATTTTTTTATTTGATATTTTATGCAGGAGTATTCTCATTTACAGCAAAAGATTAATCCAGGTATTTTCCTGCCATATTATTAGAAATTGAAGGTTGAATATGTTTTCAAGAATTTTAAAATATGGCCAGGTGTGGTGGCTCATACCTGTAATCCCAGCACTTTGGGAGGCTGAGGTGGGTGGATCACTTGAAGTCAGGCATTCGAGACCTGGCCAACATGGTGAAACCCCGTCTCTACTAAAAATACAAAAATTAGCTGGGAATGGTGGTATGCACCTGTAATCCCAGCTACTTGGGAGGCTGAGGCAGGAGAATCTCTTGAACCTGGGAGGTGGAGATTACAGTGAGCAGAGATCACACCACTGCACTCCAGCCTGGGTGACAGAACAAGATTCTGTCTCAAAAAATAAAATAAAACAAAACAAAATAGTAATGCTCTTTTAATTTGACTCCATTTAACCAATCCACCAAATTAACTGATACAAAACATAATGATACCCCAGGCATACTAAACACTCTCAACTAGTAAACTACTATCTAGTATGTCTATGTACTTCTGCTCATTAGTTGCTACGTATCAAGAATTAGTCATATTTGTACCCAAATATATTTATGTAATTATGTGTATTATTATTATATATAATTAAAGATATATAAGTCGCTGAATACCAGTGTGAAAGAAATGTTTGGTAAAGGTAAACACTACATTCAACAATGAGATTTGAAGCACAGGAAGATATGAATATACAGAATGTATCAACTGACTTGGTAGTGTTTTATTTCTTTTGCTGAGTGGTAGATGCACTGATGTTTGTTACATTATGATATATATTTTAGCAATAGGATCTTCCTTTGTGCCCAGGCTGGAGTGCAGTGGTACAACCATAGCTCACTGCAACCTTGAACTCAAGCAATCCTCCTGTGTCAGCCTTGCAAAGCTAGGGCTATAGGCACAATGGAGACAGGTCTCACTATGTTGCCTCTGGCTGATTTCAAACTCCTGGCCTCAAGAGACCCTCCTACATCAGCCTCCCAACATTACATTATTTTGAATCTCTTTTCTCTATCAAGTATTTCATAATTAATGTTAAAAATAATTGTTTCTATGAAAAGTAAGTTAATCCCTGGGACGACATTAAAGGCAAGTTGTTTAAAAATTGTCCTTCTAGGTTTGAAAAAGGGATAAAAATGGGCTGGGCGTGGTGGCTCACACCTGCAATTGCTTGAGCCTAGGAGTTTGAGACCAGCCTGAGCAACAGAGTGACACCCCATCTCTACAAATAGTAATTTTAAAAAAATTAGCCGGGTGTGGTGCCGTGCACCTATAGTCCCAGCTACCCAGGAGGATGAGGTGGGAGGATCACCTGAGCCTGGGAATTCGAGGCTGCAGTGAACCATGATTATGCCACTGCACTCCAGCCTGGTGAAACTGTTTCCAAAAATAAAATAAATAGTCATAAAATTTAGTAAGGTTTCATAACCAGACTGCTTCATGAACACTTTTAAATTTCTTGTAGTACTTTAAAGCAATCTAAATGATCATTATTGAAGTGCTTTCAGAAAGACACTGCCTGTTGTCCCAGGTACTTGCCAGGCTGAGGCAGGAGGACCACTTCAGTCCAGGAGTTCGAGATTGTAGTGTGCTAAGACCATGCCTATAAATTGCCACTCCAGGCCGGGTGCAGTGGCTCACACCTGTAATCACAGCACTCTGGGAGGCCAAGGCAGGCGGGTCACCTGAGGTCAGGAGTTCAAGACCAGCCTGGCCAACATGGTGAAACTCTGTCTCTGCTAAAAATACAAAAATTAGCCAGGCATGGTGGCGCACACCTATAGTCCCAGCTACTTGGGAGGCTGAGGCAGGAGAATCGTTTGAATCTGGGAAGTGGAGGTTGTGGTGAGCTGAGGTTGCGGCAAGCTGCAGTTGTGATGAGCTGAGATTGTACCACAGCACTCCAGCCTGGGCAACAGATCAAGACTCTGTCTCAAAAACAAATAAATAAATAAATGATTAGTCACTCCAGTCTGGGCAACATGGAGAGGACAGGAAAGGAAAGGAAGGAGGGCTGGGGAGGGGAGGGGAGTGGAGAGGAGAGGATCAGAGGGGCAAAGGGGAAGAGGAGGAAAGGAGGAATGAAATGAAGGGAGAAGGGAAAGGGGGAAGGAAAGGGAAAGGGAAAGAAAAAAGGAAGGGAAGGGGAAGATGGAAGGGAACGGGGGAAGGGATGGGAAGGCATTGCAAAACTCTAATCAGCTGAGCCGTATTCAAAGGACTTGCCCTACAATCGGAAAATCAGTAAATGAACTTACATCTATCTACATGTGTATGTTTTGGGTCAATATAAAATGTTTATCATAGCTCTTTCTAAGAAGCATGTTTAAATTAGGTAACTGCCTTCAATCTTGATCATGTTAGATAAGAGGGCTTCTAGTAGACAGTATCACATTACCAAAGAGTGCACCATATACTTTAGTGTATGAGAAAATAATTATGTTTCCTAATTATCTGAGGCTTCTTAGTTGGTCAACAGATGATAATGCCAGTGAGGCCAAGTTCTAAATTTCTTATGTTCTATGGCCTCATGCTATGCCTTGAAACTTGGTTCACTATAAACACAGAAAGAAAACTAAAGAATATGGATAAATGTATTAATAAATATTACAAAAACTCTTCAAGATTGTATATTCTTGAGAGAATATATAAGACAAGCTTAAAAGCATTTATACATCAGTTATGCAAAAAAAACTTAGAAAACCTACACAAAGTTATTAATAGAAGAGATTCAATTTTTCTTTATACTTTTTTACTGTTTTCCAAATATGCTCCAATTATACTGAAATGTTCTTTTTAAAAAAATTAAATTTTTAAATTATATATGGCCCGGCTGGGCACAGTAGCTCATACCTATAATTCCAGCACTTTGGAAGGTTGAGGCAGGTGGATCACCCGAAGTCAGGAGTTCGAGTCCAGCCTGGCCAACATATAGTGAAACCCCATCTCTACTAAAAATACAAAAATCAGCCAGGTGTGCTGGCGCATGCCTGTAATCCCAGCTACCCGGGAGAATGAGGCAAGAAAATTGCTTGAACCCGCGCAGCGGAGGTTGCAGTGAGCTGAGATAGTGCCACTACACTCCAGCCTGGGCGACAGAGCGAGACTCCATCTCAAAATAAGTAAATAAATAAAAATAAACTATATGGCCCAATCACCTGAGGTCAGGAGTTCAAGACCAGCCTGGCCAACATGGCGAAACCCCGTCTCTACTAAAAATACAAAAATCAGCCAGGCGTGGTGGCACATGCCTGTAATCCCAGCTACACAGGAGACTGAGGCAGGGGAATCACTTGAAGCTGGAAGGTGGAAGTTGCAGTGAGCCGAGATCACACCACTGCACTCCAATCTGAGCGACAGAGTGAGACTCTCTCAAAAAACAAAAAAAATTAATTAACTAAATTAAATTATATGGCCCTATGGCATGGTGCTATTTTTAATTTTATATGTATTGATATCAGTTTGGTAAAATTTATTACTTTTTAAAAAGGTTTGAAAATAAGTTTATAAAACTAAAATTAACCTTTTCCAGAGGTAATCTTTGAAGTACTAAAGAAAAGACTGCCATGCTGAAGATCCATCATTTCTCCCTTCAGCTTGTCCGATGCGACATCAACAAGGGCAAGTTCATCAGCCAAATCCTAAAACACATGAAAGTTCTGAATAAAATGTTCCTACTTAAGTTTTAGCAGAAGAAGAATAATTTTCATGTGGCTACTTGATAATTAAAGGACTCTCATATTTTAATAGGGAAAAATGATATAAAAACAGTTTTTCAATGAGCCTGGGTGACTGAAAGTCAAGGTAAGTAAACGTTAGGATGTAGCAAAAATTATTGTTTGACTTCACATAATTGTCAGAACTTTTCAGAGTTGGGTTTTTTTTTATTTTTTCATTCAGATAACAATTTGAAACCAAGGAAAATAAAATTATTTCAAAGGCTTTTATTATATTTAGCTTTTATTTTTGTGTTTTTTGTTTTGTTTTGTTTGAGATGGAGTCTCTCTGTCATCCAGGCTGGAGTACAGTGGCACAATCTCGGGCACTGCAACCTCCATCTCCCAGGTTCAAGCGATTGTCGTGCTTCAGCCTCCTGAGTAGCTGGGATTACAGGTGCCTGCCACCACGTCCGGCTAAGTTTTGTATTTTTAGTAGAGAGAGGCTTTCACCATATTGGTCAGGCTGGTCTCAAACTCCTGACCTCAAGTGATCTGCCCACCTCAGCCTCACAAAGTCCTGGGATTACAGGCCTGAGCCACTGTGCCTGGCCAGGATTTTTTTTGTTTTGTTTTGTTTTTTGAGACGGAGTCTTGCTCTGTAGCCCGGGCTGGAGTGCAGTGGCCGGATCTCAGCTCACTGCAAGCTCCGCCTCCCGGGTTCACGCCATTCTCCTGCCTCAGCCTCCCGAGTAGCTGGGACTACAGGTGCCCGCCACCTCACCCGGCTAGTTTTTTGTATTTTTAGTAGAGACAGGGTTTCACCGTGTTAGCCAGGATGGTCTCGATCTCCTGACCTTGTGATCCGCCCGTCTCGGCCTCCCAAAGTGCTGGGATTACAGGCTTGAGCCACCGCACCCGGCCGCCAGGATTTTATTATATTTAACCTTAAGCCTAATTTCTGAGTTGGCTGTAGCTGCTTTTAGTATGCGTTGTTATGGCCCAAACAGGAAGGTAACCACCTCTGATGAACACTTACTGTTTTCATCTGTCTAGCGTCCCTTTTTCTGGTAATAGAATTCCTCTTTTCCATGGGAACCCATTCCATGTGTTTCAGTGCAGTACAACTAACATCGGTCTTTCAAGCTTGGGGTAGATGGGCATAAAACCAGACCTAGCCAATTGTTCCATCCTTTCCTTCTGGTCACAGAAATCAGTTCATAAGTGGACATATGGCCCAGGTATGAGAAACAAGCATGTCTATGAAGTTTGAAATGGAAGATGGAAGATTACATCTCACTTTTCTTTGGAATCATAAGCTCTAAGAATAACACACAAATCTAAGAACATTAGTAAGGACTGTAGAGTTGGAGAAAAAACAAGAATCTAAGACAAACTGTACAGCCATCTTTACTATCACATAGAAAGACTCCAAGAATTAAGCCAACAGAGAAAATCTAAACCAAGATATGCAAAGACTATGTCTTGATATGTCTGAACTTCAGAATCCAGTAGTACCTGAAGCTAGTTTTGCCCTATTTCCAGTTACATGAACAATACATTGTCTTTTTCTGCTTACCCTAATTTAAATTGGGTTTTTGTCACATGCGACAGAGTACAGAACTATATAGGAGTGTATTCATTCAGATTTCAGTGGCCAGATTCCAAAGGCGTAAGGGAAAGAGGTAAAAGTCCCTGGCCGGGCGCGGTGGCTCGCACCTGTAATCCCAGCACTTTGGGAGGCCAAGGCGGGTGGATCACCTGAGGTAGGGTGTTCGAGATCAGCCTGGCCAACGTGGGGAAACCCCATCTCTACTAAAAATACAAATATCAGCCGGGTGTGGTCGCGGGCGCCTGTAATCCCAGCTATTTGGGAGGCTGAGTAACGAGAATCGCTTGAACCTGGGAGGCAGATGTTATAGTGAGCCGAGATCATGCCACTGCACTCCTAACTGGGCGACAAGAGCGAGACTCCATCTCAAAAAAAAAAAAAAGTCCCTACTACGGGCAGGTGCCGGGGCTCATGCCTGTAATCCCAGCACTTTGCGAGGCCAAGGTAGGTAGATCACAAGGTCAGGAGATTGAGACCATCCTGGCTAACATAGTGAAACCCTGTCTCTACTAAAAATAGAAAAAATTAGCCAGGCATGGTAGAGGGAGCCTATAATTCCAGCTCCTTGGGAGGCTGAGGCAGCGAATTGCTTGAACCAGGGAAGCAGAAGTTGCAGTGAGCAGAGATTGTGCCACTGCACTCCAACCTGGCAACAGAGCAAGACTCTGTCTCAAAAAAAAAAAAAAAAAAAAAAAGATGGAAACAATAAACACTGGGGACCCCAAAAGCAAAGAGGGAGGAGGGCATAAGGGTTTAAAAAAATACCTATTGGCAGCCAGGTGTGGTGGCTCATGCCTGTAATCCCAGTACTTTGGGAGACCAAGGCAGATCACTTGAGGTCAGGAGTTCGAAACCAGCCTGGCCAACGTGGTGAAACCCCATCTCTACTAAAAATACAAAAAATTAGCCAAGCCTGGTGGTGCAAACCTGTGGCCCCAGCTACTCAAGAGGCTGAGGCAGGAGAATCGCTTGAGCCCGGGAGGTGGAGGTTGCAGTGGGCCAAGATCCCACCACTGCACTCCAGCCTGGGCAACGCACAAATCCTGTCTCAGAAAAAGAAAGGAAAAGAGGTAGTTTAAAAAAACCAAAAAAACAAAAAACGGAAAAGAGAGAGAGAGAGAGAAAAGTCAGGGGACACATAATTGCTTTCAAGGGATTAACCTGGCAACCCTGAATACATCGACATATACAAGCCTCTGAAGTGCTTACTTGATTTTGATTTTCAGCCACACGACGGTCTTCTCACTCACCTTCAGTAAGATACTAATAGCACAGGCCATGCCTACGGCACCAGTTCCAACAATAGTAATTTTACACTGGGAGTTTTTATCATCCTCAATTAGCTTCTCAATTAGCTGCTCCTTGACAGTTGACATTTGGAGAACCTGATAGGGATAATGCAATTTCATTGGATTAACCACACTGAACATCTAAAGAACCACTCTTAAGTTTGCAGAATGTTGGAGCCCGGGATAGGGGGAAGCCAAGGAAATAATTTCCCGGTCAAACGGTGCGGGGAGGGTAAAGCAAGGCCCAGTTTACCAGGCAATGGGAGGGCTTGGGCACGAGCCGGCTTTTGGATTTCTCCCTGCCCCCAGCCACCACTTTCACCCCAGGATCACACGCTCACAAATGGTTTGCTTGGCGCTATCAGTACAGATGACCCAAAAGGGCAAAGCACCACCTTTGAAGGAAGGCACAGAAGTAACAACAGAAAAATACACCAACGACAGTTGAGGCTCGAAGCCGGGCGACGGTTACCCTCCCTGGGTCTTGAGACACGCACGTTCCCACGCACGGCTCTTGTGCGTCAGCACGCAAGCTCCGCCCCCCGCCGACCCAGGCGCAGGCCTACGGTTGTCTTCCCTGCCCTGGAGAGCTGAGTGGGTGGCAGAGGTTCAGACCACCGAAATGTTGGTGCGAAGAATTCTAGACTGGCCCAAAGAGTGTGTAAGACGGGGATATCCATGTATTATTTGCAGGATTTTAAAAAATTATTAACTTCTGTAACTTCAGGACTGAGTGCTGAAATAGAATTTCTCTTGAGAGAACAGAGGGTAGTAATGAAATGCAAAGATGCGAAGGATCCTTTCAATTTACAGCAAGAAATTGTTAATATTTATAACTCATGGCCGGGCGCGGTGACTCACACCTGTAATCCCAGCACTTTGGGAGGCCGACGCAGGTGGATCACCTGAGGTCATGAGTTTGAGACCAGCCTGGCCAACATGGCAAAACTCTGTCTCTACTAAAAATATAAAGTTATCCGGGCACGGGTGGCACATGCCTGTAGTCCCAGCTACTCGGGAGGCTGAGGCAGGAGAATCGCTTGAACCCAGGAGGCAGAGGTTGCAGTGAGCCAAGATCGTGCCACTGCACTCCAGACTGGGCAACGAGAGAAACTCCATATATATATCTCTCTCTCACAGAAGGGGACACAACCTCCTCCATCTTTTGTCGAGTATTGCATTTGAACCTTTTTCAAAATCCAAAATATAATTTATTTTTCTTATAATAGCCTGTAGTGTTGTTATTGTTGTTGTTTTTGAGTCAGAGTCTTACTCCGTCGCCCAGGCTGGAGTACAGAGGCGCAATCTCAGTTCACTGCAACCTCCGCCATCTAGGTTCAAGCAATTCTCCTGCCTCAGCCTCCCGAGTAGCTGGGACTACAGGCATGCACCACCACGTGCAGCCAATTTTTGTATTTTTAGTAGAGATGGGGTTTCACCGTGTTAGTCAGGATGGTCTCCAACTCTTGACCTTGTGATCCGCCCTCCCAAAGTGCTGGGATTACAGGTGTGAACCACCGTGCCCAGTCAGTATTTGTTTTGAATATGGTTCAGATTATACAATAACTCTGCTTTAAACCCTTCAGTGGCTTTCCATTACACGTAGAGTAACCCACTTTTACCACAACCTAGATCTTCAAGATTTGGCCTCCTACCCCCACCTCTGATATCATGTCAGGACACTCAATACACTCCCTTCCAACTAGGCTTTGGACAGTTTTTTTGGATCAGGACTTTTTGCTGTTCTTTAAACCAAGAAAGCTCTTTCCCTAGCCCTTCTCAAGGTTAATTCCTCATTTTCAGCTTTGCACATACATGCTCTGGCTTTCCTTGACAAATATCAACTACTATCATTTCCTGTATATCTCTCTCATGGCACTTTTCTCAACCAACAACTAGCCTGAAGCTAGAGGCCACCTATAGCGGACAGGAGCAGCAACCACTTGGTCCTGTACCTCCACAGCAACCTCATTTATTCCCAGACTGAGAGGGAGATTGCTGGCCTGGATGGAATGGAAATTTAAGCTCTACACCTGCCTCAGGCTCCTGGCGGCCAAGGAAGGTATCAGCTTGGTAGTGGCCAAATTGATGCTAGGTCACTAGAACTGGCTCTTCATCCATGCCTGCCCAAATACTCCAAACTTACTTAACATTTCGCTTACTTGATTGCAGTAACTTTAGGAGAACCAAAATTTGTCTTTATTTATTCTTGCACATTGCAATATTTACCAAAGTATAGTAGGTACTCACTAAAGAATTTTGAGACCAGACATGGTGGCTCACACCTGCAAAGCCAGCACAGCACTTTGGGAGGCCGAGGCACAAGGAGCACTTCAGCCCAGGAGTTCAAGACCAGCCTGGGCAACATAGGGAGACCCCCATCTCTTCTCTAAAAAATAAAAATAATTTTTTTTTTTTTTTTTTGAGACAGAGTCTCGCACACTCACCCAGGCTGGAATGCAGTGGCGCGATCTCGGTTTACTGCAAGCTCCACCTCTGGGTTCATGCCATTCTCCTGCCTCAGCCTCCCAGGTAGCTGGGACTACGGGCGCCCACCACCACGCCCGGCTAATTTTTTCTATTTTTAGTAGAGACGGGGTTTCACCGTGTTATCCAGGATGGTCTCGATCTCCTGACCTTGTGATCTGCCTGCCTCATCCTCCCAAAGTGCTGGGATTACAGGCATGAGCCACTGCACCCAGCCAAAATAAAAAAAAAAATTTAAAGAATTTTTAAAGAACATGGCTTTGAAGTACTGAGTTTTATTTTGGCAACATGGTCTTTAGTGGGGAAAAAAAAATGGAAGTAGAACCATGTTCTGAGTGTCACATTTGCTTCTACACTAACTGGCAACTTCTGTGAGATGGGGATAAGGCCTGCTTAATTTAGTTCCCAAGGTTACTAAGGAAAAAAAAAAAATCAAGGCTCCTTGCAGAGTTGGCCTACTTCATGCCTGGGGTAGGAAAGTACAAAGTGAACCTAGAACATTTATTTTGCCCATAAGCAAGGAAGTTTTACAAGACTGCATTTGAAAATTCATGAAAGATTAATAGGATCAATTTCATTGAAGCATTATTTTTCAGTCATGTTGGTATTGGCTAATTTATTGTATCAAATAATATAAAATTAATGTAAATTTAAAAAATTTTAAAGACTGAAGGTGACTCAGTTTACAAAAGGCTACAGGATTAAGTACAGGCTTCTTTTTGTGCTAATCAAAAAAAATTTTTTTTTTGAGACAGGGTCTCACTCTGTTACCCAGGCTGGAGTACAGTGGCGGGATCTTGGCTCACTGCAACCTCTGCCCTCTGCCTCCTGGGCTCAAAGGATCCTCCCACCTCAGCCTCCCATGCAGCTAGGACTACAGGCGCCCGCCACCACGCCTGGCTAATTTTTTTTTTTTTTGTAGACAGGCTTTTGCCATGTTGCCCAGACTGGTCTCAAACTCCTGGGTTCAAGCAATCCACCCACCTTGGCCTCCTAAAGTGCTGGGATTACAAGCCACAGCACCCAGCCTATATTCTAAGATTAGATACTGGTGATGATTGCCAACTATATGAATACACTAAAAATCCACAGTATGATACACTTTATAGCTGTGTCCAACCCTTTGAATGTGAGGACTCTTTAGGTGTTGGCGGGTATCAAGATTATGAACTTTTTTTTTAGCTCATCAGCTACCATTAGTGTTAATGTATTTCTTTAATTTTTATTGAGACGGAGTCTTGCTCTGTTGCCCAGGCCTGAGAGCAGTGGTGCCATCTTGGCTCACTGCAATCTCTGCCTCCCAGGTTCAAGCGATCCTCTCACCTCAGCCTCTTGTGCTTCAGCTTCCCAAGTAGCTGGGATTACAAGTACAGGCCACCATGCCTGGCTAATTTTTCTATTTTTAGTAGAGATGGGGTATCATCATGTTGGCCATGCTGGTCTTGAACTCCTGGCGTCAAGTGATCCACCCACCTCGGCCTCCCCAAGTGCTAGGATTATAGGTGAGCCATCACACCTGGCACGTGTTAGTGTATTTAATGTGTGGCTCAAGACAATTCTTCCAATGTGGCTCAGGGAAAGCAAAAGGTTGGACAACCATGCCCTAAGATAATTCCTTCTCTTAACTAGTTCTCAGGAAACAATCTTTGGAAAAAGATCTTGGAGTTGGGAATGACAATAATGTTGTTCAGTTAACCTTTACAAGTATGGTTTTCAGGCCTGTATAAGGGTCACAGTTATATTTTCAGAAAAATGTACAGAAAACATTCGTAGACAACCACGAAGGGTACTTTTTTTTTTTTTTTTAACAGACGTGGTTTTGCTGTGTTGGCCAGGCTGGTCCCTAACTCCTGGCCTCAAGTGATCAGCCCACCTGGGCTTCCCAAAGTGCTGGGATTATAGGCATGAGCCATCACACCTGGCCTTAAAATTGTTTTTAATTGTTACCAGCTTCCAGAGGGCAAAAGATCTCAAAAATCTGTGTTCCCTATAGTGACAAACTACCATTGCTTCTATTCAGTTGGCAAATAAATTTTACATTCACATATAGAATGTTACTTTCCAATTATGATTAGCATTATCAAATATATAATACTTTGGGACTTATTATAATGGAAGTGGTACCAGTACAACTCAGTTGACTATTACATCCTCTGCTAAAAGTCAATATCCCTTTTAGAAAAAATTGTTGCAGGGTTGCCCAAGAATAGCCTAACATTTCCAAATTAATATAATAACTAGTAGCTTTATGACTTTATATCTTAATATAATGAATTAACCAAAGTAGTCACTGTTCAAGGTTTATTGGGGGTTTTAGTTGGTATAACACTTGGATAGTTGGTTGTATTGTTTATATGTAGATCTTCTTATGTTACATGGTAATGTACGCTACTGATATATATAGTTCACAAAATAAGCTCCTTTGGAACAATTATGCACAAGACATACGATATTGGATTTATACACTGGATCCCAGGATGTGACTGACTGGGAAAAAATGTTGGACTAGGCATGTTCAGTGAAGGTGCCAGGAAATTATATAACACACAGTAAACATCCACCTGGCTCAAGGGGCAAATGCAGCATGTACAGAATTGGCAGTGGTGCATCAGAACTATTTCACACTAACCAGTTTAGGACTACACAAGATTAATACCATCTAGCATCAGGATATAGCTGTGGATTTCACAAACCGTTCCTATTTCTAACTTCAGGAGTTAATGCTTTTCCCAGTCCATCTTAAAATATTACTGCTTTAATCACAGATCAGATAAAAAGGACAACATGCACAACCTCCAACTAGAATCCTGTTGTAGCCTAGACAGTGAAATGCTATGACATCAGAAGACTTTAAAATTGCAGCTCTTTTTGGATCCCCCAAAGTGTATCTGCACTCTTCTTCAAACGGGCCTCTTCCTCAGGAGTCAGAGTCACCTTCACAAGGTCTGAGATTCCATTCTGTCCCAAAATGCAAGGAACACTAAGGAAGACATCATCCTTTATTCCATAGAGACCCTGAAGATGAAATGAAAAAAAGAATCTTACATTTTGTCTATGCATTCTACGGTTTCTCAAGACTTACAGCCTCTATAATTTTAAAGCTTTTTTTTTTTTTTGAGGCATAGTCTCGCTCTGTCACCCAGGCTGGAGTGCAGTGGCACAATCTCAGCTCACCGCAACCTCCACCTCCAGGGTTCAAGTGATTCTCCTGCTTCAGCCTTCTGGGACTACAGGCGTGCGCCACCACACTTGGCTAATTTTTGTATTTTTAGTAGAGACGGGGTTTCACCATGTTGGCCAGGCTGGTCTCAAACTCTTGACCTCAGGTGATCCACCTCTTGGCCTCCCCAAGTGCTGGGATTGCAGGCATAAGCCAGAGCCTAGCCGCTTTTTTTTTTTGGATGGAGTTATGCTC